ACTACTACTAGTACTACTACTACTACTACTACTACTACTGCTACTACTACTACTACTACTACTCCGACTACTACTACTACTACTACTACTACTACTACTACTACTACGACTACCACCACTACCACTACCACTACCACTACCACTACCACTACCACTACCACTACCACTGCTACTACTACTACTACTACTACTACTGCTGCTACTGGTACTACCATTACTGCCGCTACCTGCGATGATTATCACCACTGGTACAGGAAGTAGTATTGTCATGAGTACGAGTCGTGGTGGTGGTACCGGTGTTGGTGGTGTTGTTGCTGTTGGCTGGTGCTCTCCGCAGTGATGGCGGTGGCAGCGGCGGCATGGGCGGTGGTAATCAGGTGGCACACATGCTGCATGAATCGCGAATAGAGGCTAATACGATCTGCTGCAAATGCTGGGGTTGACTGACTTCAGCAGCTACGAGGTTGACTGTTGCAAGGTGCCGGGCCTGTCGAGAAGGAGCAGGATCCTAACTCCGCGACTTGCCCACTTCTTGAGACAAGCTTCTGAACTGTATGGTGCTTGTCCGGTTTTGGCGCTCCGTAGATGGATGCACCGCGAGGAGGACTTTGGAATCAGGGGAAATGAAGAAAAAGTCGAGGAAGTGGTGCGACACCGCCTCATCGAACCTTCTGCGCTCGACTGTTTGGGGGAATTCACACGAGGCAAGGCTCTGCCGAGCATTTGTGTATCTAACATGCTGCGTACTGCTCCGGCGGACACGGCTACAGTCACCGCCGCAAGCTCCGGCACAGCGAACTCCCACTACTGACAGCGAAAGGTCAAGGACGACTAACAGCCTTTTGAGATATCGAGGACCCTCAAGCCGAAAAGCTGAAACGGTCTGAAATTTTCAAAAACTCCGTAAGCTGGCAACAAGACATTGTAGCCCTCTCCCGCAGCGAGGGAGAAATCAAACTTGTCCAACTCTTTTCTGCATCGACCTTCAGGTCAGGGCTTGCGGGACTTCCGGGCGTATCTCATGCGACCACACCGACAGAAAGGATCTTAGCCTTAGCCTTTCCTGGGGCGCATCGGGCACTTGAGAGGCGCGCGCAAGTCTCTAATGTAAAGCAGACCCCCTCCAGAAGAAGCTCGACTAAGAGGCCGCCTGCAGACTTGTACTTCCCGTAGAGCGCAGGGTAGCTGCTAATCCAGTGAGACTGCTGTCCGGGACGGGCATGTAGCACAGACAGGCCTCAGCTCCAAAGGAAAGAGTGATGCTCAAGGCTGTCAGCAATGAACCAGGCGAAGAACAAGCAAGTCAGAACCGCCTTTGTCGTCTTGGTCAAGTGAACCAACCCCACGAACAGATATCTTATCACTATAACAAGGCTGCACCTCGTTGCCGGCAGAAGGTGGCCAATGCCATCGATGTGGCGCCATCGAAGCCTACTCCCAGGACCGGTGCTTGCCCCGTCTTGGCAGGTGCAGAAGAGCCGCCCCAACCTGGCTTCAGTGCTGATGACAGTGCGAAGAGCCACGGCAATGCTGGCTACACACTGATGGTCAAAGATTCAAGGATCCGACAGCGAGCGCATGAGGCTTTCAGAACCCTGGCGGGAGGCAGGAGGAGTTTTGTGTGGACTATGAGCACCAGCTGCCTGCGGGCCGCTAAACGATCTCCTGTTGCGTGCACCCTGTGGACTTTGAAAAACTGGTGGGAGTGGTAACACATGCGCCTTTGGCCGCAGAGTCACAGTAGAGGACTAGAGGACAAAACTTTGTCGACTTGTGACAAAGCCAGCTGCGTCATTGTGCTGAAATAGCAACGCTTCAGAGACGGCTGTTTTCTCCACATTGCCTGCCGGCATAATCCCTGTCCTGCACAGAGTAGACGCAAAGGGGAGCACTAATGTTCATGGTGCAGTGCCCCTTCTTTTTGTGCGTCTTTTTTCGGAAATAGTTCCACGCTTGAGACCACCTTGCTTGAAGAAGATGCAAGCTACACGCAGTGCACTGAAGACGATTGGGACGTCAGGCTGTTGTATTCATGTCACGTTTGCAGCATTGCCGACGAGTACACTCTTGGCCACTCCAGAGTTTTAGCTTCTGAGTTTTGAGCCCAGCAGCACATGACTCGAACAGTTCACTTACTTACTGACTCAGTGGATATGATAGCGCTACAGGCATACCTTGCAATATGCGTGTTACCAGGGTCTGTTATTGCTTCTGCATACCCTCCGTCACGCGAACGCTGACAGGCGGCTTCTCTGAAGAATGTGGTCGCCATAGTCAGAGAGGATGCCCTGCACAGACTGCCTCAGATTTATCTTCCTGAAATATCACCGACTGAGGCCTAGAAGTTGAACTCCAAACCATCCCCTCCAACGATGCGGTGCACCTCGACCGACCTGCACACCAATGTCCCTGCAGTGAGGTCTTGCATGGGAATTACCCACTACAGGATTAGCCACCTCAGTCCCCAGCCGTGCATGCTCTCAGTTCATTCCCACAAGTGCCTAGCACACTGGCATGCAAACAACCATCGAATGAGAGCGGGATCGTGTCCTCGCCCCAAGATTAACTCATGCCTTTTTGACAGTTGCATTGCTTGCCTCCCTGAACTTGTACCGGATAACAGGATGGGCCGTTGTTAATGGGTATGGTAGCGGACTCACGCCAGCCAGTCCCCCAACAAATTGGCGACCAATATGCTGAGATTTCAGGAGGGTTGAAGCCTTGATTTGAGCTCTGGGGGCAATTGTTTGCTCGAGCAAGTTGAAATCAGACAAGCCTCACCCAGTCCCTCCCGAACAGCAAGCCGTTGTGTTGTTGCTCTGCGTTAAGCCAAGTCTCTGGTAGGCATTCCTTGGTCAGTTCTGAGAATTTCAGTCTTACGGGCTTCCTTCCCCCAGTCCTGAGCTCTAAACTTTGATTGAAAACAAAGGGTTCCAAACAAAGGCGAGGTTCAAGCACGGGCTCACGCGCGCTCTAAGATTGCTGGGAGCTAGCTGGATCAGCGACGTGTCATCCGACGACCTGCGGCCGAAGGGATTTGTACAGGATTCATGTGCTCTGAGACCGATCTGGGGGGGCGCGCATACCAGCGACCGCCCAGATCTGGCTTTGCTTCGTGGACAGGCTGCTGCTACATTACATCACCGGGTCGAATCTATGATGAAACATAAAGCAGCTTGAGTAGTCGTTCCTGGCCTGCAGGAGTCTGACTCAGCAGAGGTAAACTCCCAAAGCAGAAGGCATGCTAGCCATGCAATGGCCAGCGGCGTTTGCCTTGGATTTCTCGCATGCATGCATAGATGCTTCTCAATTGTCCACATAATCGCACATGTACATTGCGCCAGCATGGCTAGAACAGATGTAGTCTCCAATCAGGTCTCCTGGTAAGACCAAGTCAGCAACTGCAAGCCGCATCCGTCCTAAACTGCTTCTCAGTGCAGCCCAACCTATCGGACGGGTGACAGCGATTTTGTGTAGCAGTAATGGATAATAACCAAGCTCCGGAGATATGCCACGTCACGTCATTGACTGGTAGAACCAGCACTGTTTGACTCAAGGAGGATAATCGGATCCGATCCGAATCGAATCATAGTAACGAAACGCGGCTTGTAAAATGCGCCAGAAGTGTAACTTATGTAATTGTCTTCGAGAGCAACCAACCGGTCTTGCGGCTTGGATCTCAAATGCTGAGAAGAGGCATCACTCGCCGAGAAGAACACGAAGCATGGGGGTTTGGTCTCGAATGCTGGGAGCCGTGAATGCATTGAAAGCCGCTGAATCACTTCAGTTCCCTCATTTGCAATGGCGCTCTGTGAGAAAGCGTGGCGAAAACAGACTACTGATGACTGTGAACAAACTCATGCCAGCATGCAGCCATTTGTAAATTCGGGCGCGCTGCCGGCTTAGTATGTCCATGCACGACTCTTGCTTACGGGAACTCGCCACGTGGCTATTCCTGAAATGACGAAGCTCCAGGCTAGGTACGCCAGAAAACGTGTGAAACCGCGCCTGACGAGGGCTCTGTCATGTTCTGGCAGATATGAACTTATAACCCTCATCTTTTCGAAACGCATATGCTCATGCGCATACTTGCTCGGACCCACGTGTATGTACGCATGTATGCATGTGTGCATACATGACTTTGCAAGTAGTACATGTATACATCAATAATTCAGGTAGAAAACTGTAAGTTTATTAATCATACAATATATGTATATATGTGCATATGCACATTATCTGTGTGTGCACACTGTCTGCGTGCGTGTCTGTCTCTGTGTCTGTGTCTCTCCGTGTAAGTCTGTCGGTGTCTGCAGACGCTGCAGGGCATCCAATACAAAAGTCAAAGAATAACATCTCCCACTCACTTGCCTGCCCAGCACACACGTGCATGCATCCACTCTGTGCTCAGAACATCTGACCAGAATCCGGTACACAGCCCTTGCCGCAGTCATTAGCTGGGAGGCCTGGCTTAGCCAGGGCTCCTGGTTCGTTGACGTCGCTGACTCAGTTGGACTTTTTCCGGGTCTGAAGTGTCTCTGGTGATTTGAGGGTTCAATGATCAACCGGAAAACCTGCTGCGTTTGGCCTTGGCCACGAGGCCTCAGGGTCAAAGCTCCTTGAAGCAAAGGTGATTTGTCTGCTGCTCTTCTGGTCGTTGCAAGGACTTGCATAATGGCCAGGGACTTAAACAACTAAACGTTGAAAAGACGTACTTGAAACATGTCCTGCGAGGCATCCTACCCTACTTGTTACTTGCCCAAAGTTGAACGGCTTGGGCTTCTTTTCGTGCGCCCTCAGTGTGGCGACATTGGTGGCGTCGAGGCCTGCGCATTAGCTGAGTCTCTGACCGCAGGCCATTCTCAACCCTACTGGTACTGACTCTAGCCGGAAAACGGATAGACCCGAATTCGGTGCCCGCTCTAAGTTTCAGGCACCTACGTACATTGACGGTGCTGAGACATAGACAAGACTTTGTGACAGGTCATGCCTGAAAGCAAAGCATGTCTATCAGATTGTGTACGAGTTCATGTGCTGGCCAGCATGCTTGCCGTCTACAACTTAAAGTCACTCAAAGCCTTGTGCGAGTTCCTGACACTGGCGTAGCTCCAAGCGCCTGTGCGACTCTTCGCAGCCTCTCCGCACCGAGCTCGGCTGTTGCCTGGAAGCGCAGATTCTCCACAGCAACGGCAGAATGCTCAATATGCCTCTGCACTACATCATGCTCTACGGCTGCTTTCGTTGCGTTGCTCATCTGTAACCTGACAGACATGTGGCCCGCATAGCAAACAGTCAGACGACGCCAATGGTTTGACATGCTGTGACTTAGTGAAGATCGAGAGACACCAAAGTAAATCACCAATACGGAGCCCTAGCATCCCCAAACCCGACAGCACGAACAAAACTCAAACCTCAAAGGCTCACCCCGTCCTCCAAGGACCGGGTGCCATCCGGCATGGCCTACATGGCTTTGACCGGTGCGAGTTTCCGGGGACTGGGCTGGAGCTGTAAACCAGTAAGATTACTCACCCTCGTTCTCCTCCACCAGCACCAGCACCAGCACGACTACCACCAGCACCACGGCGACCACCACCATCAATTCATAATCCTCGTGACCATCATCATCGTCATCATCATCATCATCATCATCATCATCACCGTCATCATCACACTAACCGTCACGTTCACCATCACCATTGCCATCACCATCATCATCTCTTGCTTCGTCAGTACAGCTTCCGCCCAGAAGCACGTAGAGAAATAGCGATACGTTGCATCACCACAAGCATCTGCAAAAGAAATGGTAACAAATGTCAGAAGGCCTCACTGGGAGCAGGAGGTGCTTGTGGCCAACGCAGCGGTGGCACAGCTGCAGACCTCAAGGCTTCACAAGGATAGCGAGCGAAGTTGTCAGCAGCTCAGGACAAAAAGGGTCATGCGGCCGCTGATATTTAAGGCTCACAGTCAGGCGCAACGGCTGCTGCCAGCTTGTCGAGGGGACTCTAATGTCAGCCGTTTCACTGGCCTAAGCGCGCGGCTTTCTCCCGCCAGCTTTAGCTTTGGCTTTCGCCGGTGGCTTGTCCTCGTCTTTGCGCGCCCCAGCCTCCAGAAAAGACTGAGCTGTCATGGAATGTGGCTGGGGTCCTCGAGCTCTTCAGGACACACGGACTCAGGGAATGAACAAGAGGCCAAAAGATCTTCTGCAGAATCTGGACTTGGCCGCGAGCTTTTGGCAACACCACGCTGGCGACCTCGGAAATTGTACCGATCTGGATCGGAGCCATAAGCAGTTAGTTCATTTTTAACAAATCTTTGTCATGTTCTTTGGATAGAAGCAAAAGTAGTCGTCATCGTAGTGGTAGCGCCGTTGTGTGATGGTGGTGTGGAGTGCTCATCGGATGGGTGGGGCGGGGTGGACAACTGGTGAC